AACACTTGGTAGCTACATAGTGTATTATTATATAGTATTATTTTATTGTTATTATAATACAGGATTAATATAGCGCCAACAGTTTGCGCTGCGCTTTACAAAATGGAGGCAGACAATACAATTTCAATTCAATAGAGTTAGGAGGGCCCTGCTCATGAGAGCTTACAATCTAGCATGAATGTATTCAAATCTAGGAATCATTTTAAAGAGGGAATGCTTGAGGCTACAAGTTACATGCAGAAAATATTAATGGTGTTAATAATAAAAATAAAGTGCAAGAGCAGTATTCTTGCTGTTCTGATTTTTTTCACAGCAATTTAAATATATTAAATCCTCTTATTGGGTTGGATTGTCCTTTATTACCACCACTGGAGGGTGCTCTGATCCTTCTAACTGATATTGGTCTCCAGCTACATATTTGACTCCTGCAGTCAAAATACATCACAATGCTTTCCTATGGGCTTTCTTATGCTTTATTCACACTGCAATTATGTGAATAAAGCACAAGAAAGCCTATAGGAAAGCATTGTGATGTATTTTGACTGCAGGAGTCAAATAAACGGACTGCATCACAACTGCATATGGTGTGAACTGGCCCTAAGACTGTATGGGGGGGCAATGTAAATTGATGGACCTCACAATTATCTGGCCATTGTCATTTATAAAAGCTGCGTTGAGGGTTGAAGTGTGGGGTTATTACTAAAAATAGGTTTTGGTAATTCTGCTGCATTAGATATTAAAGCTAGTCATACACAAGGTAATCTAATAATTGGAAAATAAACCATAAGACCTCATTCAAACAGGCAGTGACATACATGTGGTTTTATGTGTTTAGAGAACATTTCTAAACTCATCTAATTGTATGTAATGATTTTAAATGGTATAATTCACACTGTTCATTTAACTGCATTATGATGCGTTGAAGTCAGTTGCATATAGAGTAGGGATGCACCGTTACCAGTTTTTCGATATCGAGTACAAGTGACGATATTTATCTTTCGGTACTCACCGATGCCGGTACTTCAGCTAGCATTGAGCCGGGCTTCCCGGGCAACCAAAAAGCTGGGCGGCGGGTAATGACACACTGCCCGGCTTCTTGATTGCCTGGGAAGCCGACTCCATGCTGTTTGGCCGGAAGCCGTCTTCAATGCCAATCCGCATCAAGCCAGCCAAACAGCCTGGAGCCGGCTTCCCGGCCAATCGGGAAACCAAGCGGCGAGTCATTACCCGCAGCCCGGCTTACTTATTGGCCAGAAGGCCGGCTGCATGTTCCCTCACGGCACTGCCGGTAAGAGGAAATCCCCCTCTGACCGGAAGTTCTGGCATCAGGGGTAAGTATCGGAGCATTTGGATGAGTACTCCCCAAATACTCGGTATCTGCACTGATATTAGTATCGGCGCATCCCTAATTTTGATAAAATTGAAATCGTTGCATGCACGGGCAGATTAGTTTCTCTGAATGCATCTAAATATTTTATAATCTTGCTTAAACACAGGAAGGAGAAGGTGATTCGGGAAGTATTGTGTTTGTGTAAATAAAACAAAGGAGGTCTGTGAATGTAGCCCAGACCCCCTGAAACATTCACCCACACTGTTCTGTACGTGGCGGTTGAATTGACAGTAATGAGGAAAGCCGGGTTATCTCAAGAGGGATTAAAGGTAGATGGCATGATAGACTCCAACCCACATAGTCTGTAGTGATGCCAGGTTCCTACACAAATGTTGGTTCACCATGTAATGACTTAAAAGCAACCAATCATGCAAGGAATATATGGATTGCCATTGTCTTTTCTTCTGACTTCTGAACATGTTTCTCTTTCATGCTGGCCTGCTTACTTCAGTTCATTTCACTGGTTTTAAGCTTGTTGCAGGTCAGTTACTCAGAAGGTACTGAAACCAGACACAGGCAGACATGTTTTATTATTATTTTTTAGATGGAGGTCAGCAGTGGCACCCCACATTTTTTTCACTTCTTATTATGCTTCACTGTATACGGTTTTCTAAGCAAATATTGCTGGTAAATCTGTTAAGTTTCTTACCTGGAGATCTTGCCAGTAACCACACTTTCTGTAGCAGGCTGACAGTGGCAAATCACTGCCTTGCAATTAGGAGCAGTGTTGTCCGCCTGCTGTGTGCTCTCCTTTAGTTTACGATTGGTTTCCCCATCAACTCTGCAGCAGAGGTGCGCAGACCTGACAGGCAGCCCAGTGACTGGAGTATAGCTCATTGCAAGCTGACACCGCTACTGCAATTGCAAGCCGGTGGCTTAGTGTTGTCAGCCTGCAGCAAGAAGTGCAGTTTCTGGCAGTATATCAAGACTAGAAGAAAAAGCTCTCTATACAGTCAGTCAGTTTGATACCAAACATACTAAAAGAAATAGATGTTGGGTTTACATACTGTCATAGGGAAACATAAAACTGCTGTAATTATGAAATTCAGGAACCTAAAGAGGCTCCATATACCCGCAGCATCCCCCAAAACATTTCCTGGACTCTTCTGACACACAAAGCTTCAAGACTTCCTCCTGGTGACACATCTTGCACACCTCTTCTTACCTCTGGCACATACCTATTGGTCAGTGATCCTTCTAATCCCAGCGATGGGCCACAAGGAATGGCTGATGCTATCTCTTGTGCTTTTCTTTATTACAGTACCATAAGATCAGACCCCTGGGGAAAAAGTGATAAACAGCTCATTTCCTGCTGGGAAAGCTCCGATAGCATCTTAGGATTCAGCTATGGCACGCTGAGGGAGTGGAGTTAGTGTATTTCCACTTTTACAGTCAAATTTGAGAAAACCCCTCTTAATGTTATGTTCCATGTTCATTCACACCTAAAATAATAAGAAAATCTTACTTTTTAGATGTCTCTGTGTAGCTGGAGCCTTTGCAAAACTCTGGCTGTCCCCATAAAACCGCTAGGCTGAGCTTCCCCCATCATTATGCAATGCTTCTAGACCTTTAACCTTTGTTAGGACACACATTGTTCAAATCCAGACTAAAACTGATAATGATAACTGCCTGCACAGTACAGACAGGGTTCATTATGTTAACCTTATCCTGCCCAGCCCCCTACAGAGAACAACTTTTCTTTCAGAATTGATCATGTATTGTGCAAGCAGCAATTTAAAAAGAAAAGTTATGCTATGTGAATGAGATACATCTAAGAATTATAAACAGATGTTTGGTTTCAAAAGGGAAAATACACTTTGTTTCAAATTTGGGCACATGTATTTGGTAACCCCCAAGTACAGAAGTTTTGTAGCTACTTTAAAGGAGAACTATGAGATGAGTGATTTCCACTCACCTCATAGTTCTAGCCGACCTGTGACAATGAGACTGTCACAGGTCGGCTCAGTAGATCGGGAGGTGAGCGAACACATACCGGGTTCGCTCACCTCTCGATTCTGTCACGGCTCTCTGCCGTGACAGGGGGAGGGGCCGGATTCCCCTCTCCCCGCTCCGATCTGCCAGCGCTGACTGGCGGAACGGGTGGGGGAGGGGGCAGGTACAGCTGGCTCTGCCTCTAGATAGGCAGAGCCAGCTGTCACTCACGCAGCTGGGCGGATCTCGATGTCGGGATCCGCTGCGGCGTCTCCTTATACCGCGAGCTGTAGCTCGCGGCATACTGAGCTTAGGGTAACGGGAGGACGCTAGTTTGTGTCCTCCCGTTACCCTAAGGAGAACTATGGGGAAAAACACTGACCCCATAGTTCTCCTTTAAAGGAGAAGTATTGGGAGCGTAAAATGTACTCTTCCCAATAATTTGAACCTGCGTGTGACACTGCAGCTGTCACATCCCGGCTCTACCCAATGAGAACTGAGCAATCACAAACCACTGATTACTCAGCTCGCGGTCTTCAAGCAGAGAGCAGTGACTGATGGTCACCACTCCACACAGGGATTCCTCCCTACCCTCTCTCTGTTCCTCCAGCTCTCACTGGAGGGACAGACGGGAGGGGGCGGGCACAGCTGGTGCTGGATCTAGAGAGGCAGAGCCAGCTGTCAATCAGGCAGCAAGGTGGATCCTGACAGTATTATCGGGATCCTTCCCAGCTGCAGCGCCTCTCTGCACTGTCAGCATATAGTAGCCCACTAGATTCGATTCTGACTTTGGGCCACAGGAGTACTTTAGTAAAAAAATCTTCCTGTGACCCAAAAGAGAACTAAAGTTCTTGACTTTTGTATTTTAATTATTAATAGTCTTCAGTTTTTTATTGATACATTTCTTTTTTGCTCTTAGTCGTCAGGCACTTTTGCGGCTCTGTGACAGACTTTTTCATGTAACTGTACAGTTTGTCACCAAATGATTAAAGAATCCGTGCTGTATCTGTTGTGCTTTATAAAATCTCTGTAATAAATGGAAGAGAACAGCTTCTGTAAAAAAAAAAACTTCATCTGCCAATTAAATCAGAGATCAAATGCAGACATTTTTCCAACTGCTTTTTATTTTTTTTTATTTCTCTCACATCAACATAGAAAAATCATTTTTGTTAAATACAAATAACAAATGTACACCTGTGCTGGATCTTTGTAAAAGATAATTAGACCTAACAATAACATTTACACTTTGTGTAAAGAGAATAGGACATGTATCAGAATTACCAAACAACATTATTATATGAAAAACACCTTTCTTACCAGGAATGAAAAAAAAAAAAACATCTTCCAGTTCCCTCGTGTATCTTTATAGTCTGGCCAGAGGTCACATGGTTCCCTATGTTCATGTGCCTAGTACTTAACAGTCATGAAGACCCTGTCTGGCAGGCTTTCAGCAAGGTTAGAGGATCAACAGTGCATCAATAGGAAGCAAAACCTGTATCTATAAGGAGTACATGTACTTATATAAACTATGCATTAAATTTTTTTATTTTTTTTTTGGCATTAACACGTTAATAATTAACATTAATCGGATCCTATTTACATGGTTTGTTAAAAAAACCATTATAAAGTCTAAAAAGATTATAGTTCTCTTATTTTAATACAGTGTTCTTTTCCGTAGATCCCATCGGCTCCTAGTCCTGTTGCAGATTTCTCTGCCATCAAAGAGCTGGACTCCTTAAATAATGAAATTGTTGAATTGCAGAGGTGAGTGCAAGCAACGTTCTTGTGATATGTTACGAAGTTATGTTTAACTTAAGGCAAATGTATTTTGGCTTCGGAGGTACATTTTCCATGGGTTTCTTATACGTTCACAGTTACTTGTATGGTGTATTTTGGTTTTGTCCTTCCCTAGACTAGACTAAACTCGGGCACCCCCCTAATCTACACTTGCCCCACCCCTTCCTGTTTAAGACCAACCCCTTTGTAACCTCCCACCCCTTCCTCTTTAGGCTCCAGCTTTCCTCTTAGCGCTCCGCCTCTTCCTCGTTGTACATTAAAAGTGGATTATGAATGCCTGTATTTTGTTGTTTGTAGAGGGAGTACAAATCCCAGCAATACATTATACAGCATTGCTGAAAGGCACCCGGTTATAGAAGACTACAAATCCCAGCAATACATTGTGCAGCAATGCAGAATAATATGAAGCTACATACTCTGTGCTGCTCTGGGGTGCCGGGCTGATGTCTCCAGGGAAAAATCTCAGGGGGGCTGTGCGGGGTCTCTGGGGGGCTGTGGTTCAGCAATGCCCGGGTTCTGGTCCAGTACAATGGCAAAAAATAGTGCATGCATTTATTGGACTATTTTTTTGCGATCGCACTGGACTGTAACCTGGGCATTGCTGAACCACGCGTTCTGCTGCAGGCGATCTCACTGTGGGTGGGTTGGGCAGTGACTTGAATGGCACCACCACGCCCCCTCCGACCCCAAAACGCAGGGAGGCTTGCTTACGTGATCCAGTGCGTTCTGGCCACGAGCTGTACTGGAATGCACTGAATTAGGTGTGAACAAGCTCTAAATATAATAGATCCCAGGAAACACGGCTGCCTGTGGTACAGGTAACACCTGCACATAGGTATATATAATAGATCGCAGGGATCTCTATACCTGTGTCACACAGGTATAGAGATCTATTATATGTGATCTATTATATATACCACAGGCTGTGTGCAGAGATCTATTAAACAAGGCTGCCTGTAGTACACACTGCACTTGCAGTGATTTTTCAGTGCTCCACGGGACCCCATTGCACACCGCTTTGCCCAGTGCCTTACCCAGTCAGCAGCTGAGCTCCCTGGTCTGCCTTTTGTTCAGGTCCCTGGGGGTCCTTGCATCGTTCTCAGGCCATCCATTTCCACGGCTTTGCTCTTGAATGCCTGAGAGCAGAAGGCTGTCGCCAGCCCAGCCTGTCAGCAGTGAGTATTCTTCTGCTCGCCTCGGCTGGAATGTAGAGAAAGTGAAAGCAGCGGCGGTCAGGTATTTCTTCGGCTGCTGGTGTACACCCCTGCATTATCCAGGCTGGATGTCCCCTAGGATTATAGGAGAGGGGGGAACGGGTCCCCTCACTGGTTTGGGGGCGGCATTTTTTGCCGTCCCCGATGAAAGTGCCGCTCAAGGCAGATGCCTTGTTTGCCTTGCGGTGAATACGCCCCTGCTTGTATGGAGGACTAAAAACCTGATTTCAAAATCACTTTTAAAGTGTATCTAAACCCAAGAACAGAAATGTTAAAGTAAAGCCAAACCTTATCTGGCTTTACTTCTCTTTTGGGTCACAGGAGTGCATTTACTAATACTGATGGTTTTAACACTTTCCCACTCTATCCAAAACAAAAAATGATATACAAAGTTTTGGCTTTCGATACATTTTAGTAAGAAAAAAAGGATGATATTTTTCTGAAATACTCTGTACTCAGCTGCTTCTTCATAAAGTGAGAGGATCGCAAATATTTATAGGATGTATAGCACTTCCTGTTCATTCATGACTTGGGACATAGTTATCATTATGTCCTCCGTTATTTACAAACACTGAGTGATCAGTACTGATTGCTCAGTATTTGTGCTCCGCTCTCCATCCTGACTGCTCTGCCATCTCTCACCTGTCACCAGAGGTGAGGTCTCCTCCTCAAACCCGTCCCACTCGACCTGCTGACGGGCATCTCTGCCGCACTTGGCCTCCTGACAGGTCTCTCCCCCCCGCACTGCCACGTTATGCCCCCTGACAGGTCTCTCCTCCCCGCTGAGGCGCCGGCAGCTGGATCAACTCCCGATTCCTGCTGCCTCTGGTGACCCAGCTGGAGGAGAGCAGTCGGGGGGATCAGACGGGATACAGACTGAAGCTTGCAGCCAGTGCCCAGTGGAGAGGAGAGAAGCTGGGCATGCACTGCGTTTTTGGCTGTTTTTGTACTGTCGGCATTTTGCCCATAGAACCATTTTGGTCCGAAATGTTTCCGCAGCCGAAATTTCAGTGCATCTCTAATTATAAGTTTTGTAGGAAGTATACAGGTGAAGCCTGTCTTATTTAAACCTTAGATATCTATCTAGTATATGTGCCTTGTGATATTAAAGTGTGTGGTATCATAATGCCAAGATCCAAAGATCTCTGTAAGGCCCTCAGAAAGAAGGCTCTGGATGTTTGGGTCTGACGAGATTTAAAAGGATTGCAAAGTTCTTTGAAATTAATCATTCCACTGTAAGAAAGGTAATCTTCAAGTGGCTGAAAGTTCAAACGACTGCTAATTTGTCCAGGACTGGCCAGCCCAGCAAATTCAGCCCAAGACCTGAGTGTGTGATGCTAAATGAAGACTCTAAGAACCCAAAAGTTTGATTTGTGGGACTTGGAATAATGTGTGTACCATGGGTGAGTAAAGGACAGAAAAGAAAAAACATCCCTGATCATGTAAAAAAAACCTGAAAGTGACCAGAAATGAGTAGCAACTGAAGACATCCTAAACAAAAAGAGGGAAGGTGGAGGCAAGGAGGCTAAATAGACCATGGTAAGGGGGTTAAACAACTCTGTCTCTACACTGGGGCATTTGTGCAGTAATTTAGGTAGTGTCTGAAGTGTTGTTCAGTGTGGCTGAGGTGCACTCATCAGAGAACATAAACTGTTTCCAATAAAACCAAGTTTGTCTGAATGTGTGCATTGTGTCTTTGAGGGATGCAGTCAAATCTTCAGTATGCATGACATTGTCAACTCTTGAAACCCAGTGGTGTGAATCAGGAGGCTACATTTGCTTACAAGTATCTGGGATGCAGGATCTGGATTTGGGAACCGGGGTGAGGCATGGAGAAAGCAGGCCACAGGGTTTCCACTAGGGTCAAGATACACAAGTGTAATGATTATGGGTGGTACCTGAGACCGAAACAATTTAATCTTTGTGCATTCCCAAAAGATTTCTAGGAGTGTCCAACAGACTTCTCCACAACACCAGCATCTATCCTTTGAACCTGGGAAGATGCATGAAAGGACGTGGGGTGGTCGTGTACCACCTTGTTAGCACAGGGTATTTTAACTTTTGCTGCAGCAATTACCAGTGCTAAAAAAAAGTGAGAGAACCACACATTCTGTTTTTTCTTTTTTTTTCCTCTCTGATTTGTATTATGCAAAGAAGAAATGTTAGGGACTTATACTTGGATACATGAAGCAGTTAAATTCTTGGTTAAACCAGCACTGGTCAGAATGATCAAATGTGTTCTGGTCACACAGGTATAAATTATCTTCAGACTTGAAGGGGTTGGAATCATTGCCTACACCAGTTCTAGCCACAGAGAATAATGAGATCTGACCGAACAGACTTCTGTGCTGAACTGAGACGTCCATTATTCATAATGGACAGGTCTGGGGCATATGGAAGATTGTAAAGGATGCTTTAAGTGCTGGAGGGAAAATACTTTTCTGTCTCTGGGTAGTTCAAGCAGTGTTAACTACATTTTGTGACACCGGATCAATATAATTGTTGTCATATAAAGGTGCCAGAACACCAGTTCCTGGCTTCAGTTCTTTCCTATCTTTAGCCATAGTATTATAATGAATACCAGATTTGTTGACTGTGACTGCTCTCAGCTCAATGACTTAATGGTTTATCTCCCTGGTTACAATGTCTCCTAGGGATTTCCCTTTTTAACAAGTGCATGGTGATGTCCTTTAGAAAGTGAGTATTCCACGATCTGTGCAAAAATAAATAAATAAGTAAAATGAAGACAATACTTGCTCAGAATAAAAAAATAAAATAAAAACCTGAACTGGAAGACATAGTACAGAAGACAGCCGTTTACATCTTTCTGATAATGCTAGTTGCATATCTTTGGCTTATCTGCTTTGAGTCACTGACCTAGAACAAGTATGCAGCCAGTGAAGTAGTTTGGGAACTCTGAACTCCACATACTTGTGATCTGCATACTTGATTCATTGATCCAGTAAGTATTGAAGATGATCAGCCAGACAAGTAGGTTTTTCAGTAGAGTTCAGCCATGACACCATTTAGCTTCCATACCTTTTGACTGACCCAGAACAAGTGTGAATTCTATCTTTTCACCTTCTTTCAGGGCATCCTTGTTCTGAGTAAAGGCCCAGAAAATAATGATGCCATCAGCAAAAGTCTGACATCAGAAGGAGGTCAGCAGTACCGGCCCCAGTTTTGTTCTTCTCATGATGGGACACTTTAAAAGTGATTTTGAAATGCAGTAAAATACTGCAAGGACAGCTTCTGGGAGCTTTGTTCCTGCGGACATAGGCACTCCCTCAGAAATACATCTCCCAAGAGCCATTTACCTACACACAGTTTGTGAGTCAATCCAGCAGCATTGTTTTGCTGGGAAAGAAATCAGTGTATGCATGTAGAGAGGTGCAGGAACAGATGAAGTTCTGTAGCTCAGCAGACAGGACCGGCAACAATGCTAAGGATTTCAGTGTGACATTCTCAGCTTAATACAAGAAGATAGAAAGTTACTGGATTTCTGACAAACAGTTATGTGCTAAAATTCTAGTGTAGTTGCATTATTTTTAAAGGATAAACCTTGGAAAATATGCGTGTATTGGAGAAATGTTCTGCATAAGTTTTAGTGTTTGCTTAGACATACAAGTTAACATTTTGTATGTTAGATTAAGCTCTGGTGAATAAGTTGGTGAAAGAATGCATGGATCTGGCTCATGAGGAAATACTGGTATTTCTTGTATGAGACATGTTAAGTTTCACTTCTCTTCTTTC